GAGAGAGAGGGGGGGAGAGAGAAATACAAAGAGGGAATATCCGGGAAGCGGAATCGTTGACAGGAGGATAGGTTCTCTCTAAATGTCAAGCAGCAAGAAGCAAAGCGGTTAATGACTTCGCTACCTGTAACGACAAGCGAGCGTACTCGTTACATTTCGCTAATTACGATTTCAGTTTTCATACCGTCTTTCTTTTCGCAATTTGTCGCGTAATTTGCGCATCCGAGCCCATAAGTGGATTGTTTCCCTTTATGTCAGTCAAATTTTATTTATCAACGGCTACGCGCATTTAATTAAAATCTCGAATCCCCCTCGGCCTTCTTCATTAACTATTTGCGTATTCGCGCATTCTCGCACTTTTGCTTTTTAATGAGAACCTATTACCTATTGCACTCCCCACTTTCTAACGAGCGTAATTAATAGTTTAGCATAATATTGTAACTACTCATGCAAGCAATGGTAATATCATTGCTATCATTATTATTATTATTATTGTTATTATTGTCATTACTGTTGTTATTATTAATTAATCATAATTATATTATATAATGTCGTATATAAAGTATTTCTGTTGCGTTATTGTTTATTACATATAAACGAATAAACATTATACATATCCGTTTTCATTATCCATTTCAATTTTCCACTGTCATTATAAAGTTTCCAACATAAAGGACTTTGCTTTGAATTTCATCGAGAAAAGTCATATTTCACTTTCAGACAATAAAATAATTATAATATACAAAGCGTAAAATTTTGCGAATCAAAAAGTCAAAAAAATTACGCGTTCCTTGACTTTTGCTCAAATGTCACGAGGGTGATGTTTTTTAAATTTTCAACTTTTCTCTCCTTCCCGGGTTATTTCGCGAGTACGCGATGACTGCGGCCGATGTTGTATATACAGAAGAAGATTCGCCTCTTATCGTCTCTTCTACTTCTCGACGATATCCAGCATGCAAGAACAATCGCGGAAGCGGAAGAATACGTGCGCGATATTTCACGATACGAAAGCGCGGCGCGAACGAAACGAAACGTGTCCTCTCTCGTTCGGCGCATCGAAATTGCCGCATTTACACAGCGTTTCTTTCGGTTTCGCCTGTTTCAGAGGTACATTGCCACAACATGCCACACGGCGGCAGCAGCAAGAGCGGCGACACATACAACCAGAATGCTCTGGAAGAGGCCGCGCGATCGGGGCCGTATTTCGACAAATCGGCCTCGAAGAACGTGACCGCCCTGTTAGGAAAGACCACGTACCTCAACTGCCGTGTCAAAAACTTGGGGAACAAAACGGTGAGTGAGAGACAGACGCATATCTCCGCGTAAAGAAGAAAATTCGTCCTACTTTTATCTATATATCTATATCTATATCTATATGTCTTCTTTATTTATTTAGAACAAAAGCGTGACATAATATGATCGTCTCAGATTATCTATAAACTCGCTAATATAATTAATAACAAATTTGCATTGTAATGTAGCGCGATACAATGTTCATGAAATATTACTTGGACGACTTGATAATGAAATGTTGGGTAATGATGATGCAAATACTCGAATCAAGAAAGCAATCTTACTTTCGTGAAATATAAAATTTCCTTAACATTTTATAAATTTTAAAGTTGCGACGTTACCGCGATGATAAGTAATTCTCTTCTCGAGAAAAGAAAAGTTTAAATTTTTACACTGAAAAGAAACATTGGAAGGAACTCTGGGAAGATAACAGAGGTATCAATATTAAAAGTAACTGGAGACGAATCCGATTCGCGCTTAACAACTCGAAAGTAGCGAACGAAGCCAATTTCAACGTTGCGAATTGGAGAATTAAATCTAAGCATTAAGTTATGGGCGTATACTTAAATCCAGCGATGCGGGCGGGGGGGATGCCGAGAGATCTCGTTACTTTTTCCCTCGCGATAAAGTCCCTCTAATAGCGAAGTGCTGAAATAACAGGTTTGCGAGGACAGATTAGGGCTGACGGGTGAGAAAAAGAGCGGGCGCGTTGACGACACCTATGTAAACACAGCCGATTCTACGTTTTCTCTTCTGGCCCAGAGCCCTGAGTGAGTGAGGGGAGGCGAAATATCGAGTGTCAATATTTTATCGACACAATGGAGCGTCACCTGTCCCGGGCAAACTGTGGGGGTTACCGCCGGAAGTGCACTCGGGCACCAGCGCGACACCCATGGTCTCTCGACAATGCCATTGAACGAAGTGTGCAGGTGCCTTCGGTATATATGTATATATGCATATATATATATATATAT